AACTGATGTCTATTCTTCATACAATGAACTAATGTGACTGTTTCGATATATTGAAAACATTTCTAAGATTTTTCGAGTACACTCTTATTTAAAATAAATCGTTATTTTAGCTTTGGTATGTGTAAAGAAGGTATATTTGATGGAAAATTAACATCTACATTTTGTGGTACACCTGGTATGAATCAATGTGCTTTTTTTTTGTTTTCTATTCTAATGTATTATTGTTAGATTATATTGCACCTGAAATTCTTCAAGAACTAGATTATTCATTTTCTGTTGATTGGTGGGCATTAGGAGTATTAATGTATGAAATGATGGCTGGACAACCACCATTTGAAGCTGATGATGAAGATAGTCTATTTGAATCGATTTTACGTGATGAAGTACTTTATCCTGTTTGGTTATCAAAAGAAGCCGTACATATTCTTAAATCAGTAAATAAATTTATAAAAAAAAAATAAAATAAAAAGATAATTTATTCAAGTGATATTTATTATATTTTTCCTATTTTAGTTTATGACAAAAAATCCAGCTAAACGTCTTGGTTGTGTAGCAGCACAAGGTGGTGAAGATGCAATTAAACGTCATGCATTTTTTGCTGGAAAAATTGATTGGGAAGCATTAGAACATCGACAAGTTAAATCACCATTTAAACCAAAAGTGGTATGTTCATTCAATTATTGTTTTTTTTTTCTGTAAGTATTAAAGAAAAACGACAAATTATGATAGGTTAATCCACGAGATACAAGTAATTTTGATAAAGATTTTACAAATATGCCTGTCGCATTTACACCAATTGAATCTGTTATTGTTAAAGCAATAAATCAAGATGAATTTCAAGATTTTTCATATCAAAATCCTGATTGGCGTTGTTTAGAACGTGGTGAAGTACCTAAAGATGATGCTAATGAAGGTCGACGTGCATTACGTGATGATTTAGCTGTTAATTTAAAACAAACATTACCAATGACACCAATATCATCAAATCCATCAACAACAAATGATAATGTTTCATCAACAATAACAGTTGTTAAAACCGATCATATGCCAATACCACATACAGAAACAAAACGAAATTCAACTCCAACACCATTTCAATTAAATTCCATACCATCATCATCATCATTGACAAATGCTCAACAAAAATCAATGAAACATAATAATATAAATAATAAAACAGTAATTATAAATCGTTCAACAACAGATGAAACAGATATGTAAAAACATTATAAATTGCATAATTTTTCGTTTGTTTTTGTTCATTTACTTTCTCTATATGAAATTCTAGTCATTTTATTGTTGTTTTTGTCTTTTGTGCGTGTATTTTTCTTTTTTTTGTTTTTCGAGTTAATTTTATTCTATTACACCACCTATCTTCAATCTTCTAGTCATCGATCATCATTGCTGCAGCTGTGGCCTCTTTCAGTTTCTTTTGTTCTTTCTTTTTCGTGCAATTTCTTTTTTTTTTCTTCTTATTTGGCATAATTTTCACTAGACGTATTAGATCATACACGCACAAGTTTATTTATTTATTTATTTATTTATTTTTTGCTCTCTTTCTCTTGTTGTCTTGTGTATATACCCTATAATAATGTATACAAATATATGCGAATGTGTACATTTTGGTGGTTGTCTATTTATTTACTGTCGTCTATCTTTTATATTTTATAGTTCTTCTTTGAATTATTAAATAATTGAATAAATATATCTATATGAAAAAGAGAATTTTCAAAAAATGTATTATTTTTGATAGTATGTAGAGTTTTGGAACGAATATTTCGTGCTAAACACGTATTAATTTTGAATATGCTCTATCTTAACAATGGATAGTATTTAAAATAAATTTTCTAAGAAGACGATTATATTTAATTTTTCAAGACATTATTCGTAGTTTTACCGCTTTTTTTGATCGAACTGTCGATAACTTAGCCGTTTTTCTTCAGTATATGAATAGTTTAGTATGGATATAGGTTCAAACACTTATATACGGATTCTTTGCCTTAGATTCATATTTCTCTCGCCGAATTGTACATATGAACATTTTTCTTAAATTCTAGTATACGAATCTATGCTAGTATTTATCATTTAAGATCTCTATAAAATTGAGTATTTGCTTCTTAATATTGAGAAATCATAGCTTTATTTGCTGAGTCATGAGCTAAGCTTACCGGAAAGAGATAAATTAATCGTTCATACAAGAACTCTTTGCTAAGCTTTGTAAAACATGATTTAAAAAGAGTGTTGAAGTATAGAAGTCAAAACTTGAGCCCATCTTTCTTTTACAAATCGTCACAGACGGTGATATTTATATATATACGATCATAGATCATATATCAATAACATCTTGTTCTAATATCTGAACTACTTTGTTGCATTTACGAAGAATTAAGTAAGAAAATGGTGAAGAGATATATCCCAAAATAGATAGAATAAAACAATGTCGTTGTGATTAGTAGAGTTGCTTCAAATTCAATTCTTACATTTGACTGGATGTGGCTACATTTGAACTTCAAAAAAATTAGTATCAAATTATTAATTTATGTTAATATGTTTACTATTCGTAGTTCTATAATAACCAAATTCAAACCAGTAATTGGAACTGGATTTGACCGGATTACGAGTTAGTACATCTCTAGTGATTAGCAACATCAACTGCTTCATGTTTCAATCTTGCAAGAATTTTATTAACAGTTTTTCGAATTAAATTGCATATATTATTTTCAAAAAGAGATATTTATTCGATTAAAAATCGGCATTCACATTTGTCGTCTTCTCAGACGATAAGCTCCTTGAACCTATATAAAACAATTCGTTTACCTTTCTTTATAATCTTTGGTTTATTATAGCAAAAAAAGCAGTAAAACAAAAAAAAGAACAATTGGTCTGTTTCCATCCGAATATATTTCGACAAAAAAAAAACCCAATATTATATATGCGTAACAGTAAGCAGAAGAAAAAAAACCAACAAAGGTAAAGAAATGAAGGAGAAAAAAAAAACAAACATGCACGTTGATGTTTAACTAATTTTGTTTTGTTTTTTAATTAAGACTTAGATAGTGGAACGAAAATAATAACAAGGCGAAATAAATACAAACAGATCTGACCACCATGTTTTCCTATGATTAAACTACATATTTTTACAAACTATCATCATCATGGCCATGTGGTGGTGGTGGAGAACCGCCAGCACCAGCTCCACCTTGTTGTCCATATAATTTCGTCATAATAGGTGTAACAATTTCTTCTAATTCTTTTTTATGTTCTTTTAATTCATCAACATCAGCAGCTGGATTTGATTCTAACCATTTAATTTGTTCTTCAACAGCTTTTTCAATTTTTTCTTTATCATCACTTGATAATTTACCACCAAGTTTTTCTTTATCATTTAATTGTGTTTTTAATGAATAAGCATATCTATAAAAACAAAAATAATTTAATCGATTAATATTCTTATTAATAAAAAAGTAATATAACTTACGATTCAAGTTCATTTTTAGCATCAACACGTTCTTTTACTTTTTTATCTTCATCAGCAAATTTTTCAGAATCTTTTATCATACGATCAATATCTTCTGGTGATAAACGATTTGTATTAGAATTAATAACAATATTATTTTTATTTCCTGTTCCTTTATCTTCAGCTGTAACCTAAAGAAAAAATATTTTCAAAAGATTAAAAAATAAAACAAAATAAAAAAAGTTACTTTTAATATTCCATTAACATCAATTTCAAATGTAACTTCAATTTGTGGTACACCACGTGGTGCTGGTGGTATTCCAGTTAAATCAAATTTTCCTAATACATGATTATCTTTTGTCATTGGTCTTTCACCTTCAAGTACTTGAATTGTAACTGTTGGTTGATTATCAGCAGCTGTTGAAAAAACTTGACTTTTTTTTGTTGGTATAACTGTATTACGTGCAATAACTTTTGTCATTACACCACCAACTGTTTCAATACCTAATGTTAATGGATTGACATCTAATAAAACAATATCACCAGTACTTTCTTCACCAGATAAAACACCAGCTTGAACAGCAGCACCATAAGCTTTGCAAAAAAAAGAAATTAATTCAATTGGAAAAAAATGAAAATATAAACTTACCAACAGCTTCATCTGGATTAATACCACGTGATGGTTCTTTACCATCGAAAAATTCTTTAACTAATTGTTGAATTTTAGGTATACGTGTTGAACCACCAACAAGAACAACTTCAGCTATATCAGTTTTTTTTAAATCAGAATCTTCTAAAACTTTTTGTACAGGTTTCATTGTTGAACGAAATAAATCCATATTTAATTCTTCAAATTTAGCACGTGTTAATGTTTCACTAAAATCTTCATTATCATAAAATGATTCAATTTCAATTTTTGTTTGATGTTGAGATGATAATGTACGTTTAGCTTTTTCAACTTCACGACGAAGTTTTTGTACAGCACGATTATCTTTTCGTACATCTTTACCAGTTTTCTTTTTAAATAATTTAATAAAATGTTCCATAACACGTTGGTCAAAATCTTCACCACCTAAATGTGTATCACCATTTGTTGCAATAACTTCAAATACACCATTATCAATTGTTAATAATGATACATCAAATGTACCACCACCCAAATCAAAAACAAGAATATTTTTTTCGCCTTCTTTTTTATCTAAACCATAAGCTATGGCAGCAGCAGTTGGTTCATTAATAATACGCATAACATTCAAACCAGATATTGTTCCAGCATCTTTTGTTGCTTGACGTTGAGCATCATTGAAATAAGCAGGAACAGTAACAACAGCATGAGTAACTTTTTTACCCAGATAAGCTTCCTATTATAAACAATAAAATAGTTTGAAATGAACAAAACAAAAAAAAAGCAAATAAACTTACAGCTATTTCACGCATTTTTCCAAGTACCATAGCAGAAATTTCTTCTGGAGTAAAAAGTTTTTTTTCTTTACCAGTATCTATTTCAATACTTGGTTTTGAACTTTTTTCTACAACTTTAAATGGGAAATGTTTAATATCTTGTTGAACAGTTGGATCACTAAATTCTCGACCAATAAGTCGTTTAACATCAAATACAGTATCTAACAAAAAAAATACACATTAATGTTATTTCACAATCAACAACAAAAAAAAAACCTTACTTTCTGGATTTGATGTCAATTGATTTTTAGCTGAATCACCAATTAATCGTTCACCATCAGATGTAAATGCAACATAGGACGGTGTAATTCGATTACCTTGATCATTAGCAATAATTTCTACACGTCCATTTTTGAATATACCAACACATGAATATGTTGTACCCAGATCAATACCGATTACAGTTCCAAAATCTAGTTAATCAAAATCTAATAGATATTATTTTCTATGAATTAAAATAGACTTACCTTTCTTGGCGTCTTCAGCAGCCAAAGAGAAATTGAAAGTAGTAGTAGCGATGAGTAAAAGAACAATGATTATCTTCATGTTTATCGAAAGTATTGTTGAATATCGAATGAGACTAAGAAAGAAAGTCAGCCGTATTTATTTGTGACAATGATCGTTGAACTGAAATACACGTATTTTTCTTTTATGGATGATGGATGAATATGTTGTCTAAATATGATTGGTCCAGCAAAACATGATTAATGATGTCACTTTAACTCGGCAACCAATCAAATGAATAATACTAGAAAAGTGTAGAAATACGTTTTTTTGAATTAATACTTTGAAAAATATTCTATTTTGTTCTCTAAAAATTTTAATAAAATTCAAATTTAGTATGATGCAGTGACATCTATAATGTAATCAAGTCAACAAATACTAGGATACTCCAGAAAAAAAGTTTGGTTTATTTTCTTCTTATTCAAATGAAATCTTATGAATCTAAATGTTAAATTATATTAACAGGGGTGGCGCGACCGGGGGGTAGTCGGGGGTGCGACACCCCCCCAATCTTCAAAAATTTCTGTTCTTTTGCTCAACAAAATCAGGAAATTTTCTTCCATTTGTCACCACAAACAATGTTACACCCCCCGAAAAATTGCAGACTTCGTCTTTCTAGTCCAAAAAATTTCGCTACACCCCCCCAATGTTGGTTGACTTGCGCCACCCCTGTATATTAACTAATGTCCATTTCAAAATAAAAGAAGGGTGGTTGTTTTTCAAATATCTCTTCAGCAGAAAGAGCTATCGATCAGTGGCTTTCACCATTAGAAAGAGTCTGACATTCTGCATCTTTCTA